GGCAGAGAGAGGGGGAACAGGGAGCCCGATAAGGGGCTCGATCCCAGGACACCAGATTGTGACCGGAGCTGAAGGCAGATGCTTCACCACCTGAGCACCCCAGGCACCCCTCTGAATTAGTTTTTGCACTTTGACTTAGTACTTCTTTGTTGTTGCGTGTTTTCTGTTAGTGGTCACCTGACCTCCAAAGCCAGATGCTTCCTCTGTGAGCTTAGTTTTGTCTCCTTGCAACTGCGAAGACCTTCACCGCCCTGAATTGATTTTGAGAAAACATGGACACAGTGTGCCAAAAAGGACATTCCCACCAAGTTCTAGAATTACTCTCTTACCATTCTTATTCCAAAATAGGGTGAGTTCTTCTTATTTATACCGATTGGTTCTCTTTGTTGTGGACATTTTCCTTAGGGACATTTAAAAGCTTAATTTAAAATTGAATTTTAAGATGAATTTAAAAATGAATTTTGAAATTTTGAAATCAGAGAGAAAGACAACTTGTCATGTCCCCAAACGCAAATGGAATTTTGTAACTTGTGTTCATTCATTTCCTGGGACCCTCCCTGAACCCAGCCCCCCACCCCCTGCCTGGAGCGTTTGTCTTCCGCAGCACCTGGCGGACTGCTGACCCTTCGTGCGTGATACCAGACCTGAGGGGGCGGGAACAGAAGCCCAAGGTGTGGCTAAAATTTCAAAGTAGCATAGACGTTTCTAGTTTCAGTGATATAAAGACAAGCACTAACTGTAAACCATTTTTCTGAATTCTCTTACTCTGTTGCACGTGTGTGTGTTCACAGTTCTCTTTTAGCTGAGGGACAGTACCTCCGTAGGTCTGGTTTTAAGGTCTGTAATTCACTGAAATGCAATTCCCAGGCAGCCAATTCTGTACACTTGCTGGGTGCTGGGGGTGGGGAAAGCGTGGTCGTGCAGAGGCTTTTGCCTATGCAGCTCTTGGGTGCGCCTAGGGCTGGGTGTTGCTGTTCACTTTTCCTGTGCCTTTCCACGCACGTACGCACACAGGCACAGACACACGCCTCACAGTTCCCCATGGACGCACATGGTACTTGTCACTTGCTCCAGAACAGAGAGCAAGGTGTGTGTGCGCGTGCCTGCGTGTGTGTGTTTGTGTGTGTGTGTGTGTGTGTGTGTGTGTGTGTGTGTGTGCGCACATGAGCTGGAGCCACAAGGGAGACCCTCTTGACGCTCAGCCCCCTCCTGGGGGAGGGGACAGCCAGGTCAAGGCCGTGTGAAGGGCAGAGCTTTGTCTTCCATGCCCACTGCCCCTGGGCCACCACCAGGCCTTCCTGGGCCTGCAGTTGCTGCTGCCACTGGCCAAAGCTTGCCAGCCCAGAGCGGAGAGGGTATTTGGACTTGAGGTCTGCTTATTTGGTGTGCATATTTAAACTTGAGGTCTTCTTATATGTGGTGAAGTTTTTGCCGCCAGGGCAAAGGCTGATTCAGAGTTATTGTCTGGGCAGTTTTGGGCCCGGCCCCCTGCATCGTGCCCTCTTTCTCAGAGCAGAGACTTGCTTCCTGGCGGTGTCCTTATCCAGTGCCCTCAGTTAGTCCCGGCCTGGGTGCTGGGCCAGCCAGTGCCTCGTCGGCGAGCAGTGGTGGACTGGACGCCACAGGAGCAGGTGCGGGGAGGGCTTTTATCCCTGGCCCTGGTGTGTATTGCCCGGGAGGGCTCCAGGCCAGCACTGTGGGAGGTGTCCCCGCTTTGCCCCTGCTCTCCCTGCCCTCCCACCCCCACTGCTGTGAGGGGAGCTGCTGGGTGTGGAGCCAGAAGGAAGCCCGTGGTCTGTGGCGACTGGGGTCCCGAGTAGGGTGTCAGGGGCCCAGGCTTACTGCCAGCAGAGTCTGGCCTATGTCACTGGCCAGCGGTGGCCTCAGCCCCTTGCCACAGCCCCTCTCCAAGGAGGGATGGCCCCTGTGTATCTGGTAATAAGGTGCTATTTGAGCCATTTCCCTATTTCCCTGGGACAACGCTTGTGGTACCCAGCGCGGCCCGGAGGGAAGCTGGCAGCCCCTGGAGGAGCCAGGTCACCATTCTGGGGCCTCTGTTCTCCTCCTCCTCCTCCTCCTCCTCCTCCTTCTTCTTCTTCTTCAAGTTTCAGGGTGGAATTTAGTGATTCATCAATTGCACACCCATGCTCATCACATCATGTGCCCTCCTTACTGCCCGTCATCCAGTTACCCCATCCCTTCACCCCCTCCCCTCCAGCAGCCCCCAGTTTGTTTCCTATAGTTGAGAGTCTATTATGGCTTGTCTCCCTCTCTGATTTCCTTTTATTCTGTTTTTCCCTCCCTTCCCCTGTGATCCTGTTTTGTTCTTCAATTCCACATATGAGTGAGATCACATGGTCTTTGTCTTTCCCTGGCTGACTTATTTCACTCAGCTTAATACCAGGGACGCCTCTGAGAAGCAGAGAGCAAGGCCTCAGGGCCTCATCTGAAGGTCGGTGGCCTCCAGTCAATGGCCCTGAGGCTACCCCACCCCCTGCCCGCCAGTACCACCACTGCCCCTCCCTGGGACTCCCCACCCTTGGGAGAAGGGCTGGGAGATGTCTTTGAGCATCGCTTTCTGCTCCACCGGGTCAGTGGAACAGGAAAGAGGCAAAAAGTATTGCCCAGCCCCCGACCCCAGTCCTGTCCCTGGTTGATCATAGAGGGGACACTGGTTACTCTCCTAGGTGTGCCAGGAACCCGGGCAATCAGCTGAGCCCATCAAGGGGCTGCATTGGCTCCCGGGACTAGAGAGGGCATGAGAGGGGGGCACATAATTTGTTGAGGGGGGATCTGGGTCTGTCTCATCTCAGGCTGTGCCCTGAGCCCAGCATGCCTGGCCGAGTGCTGGGTAAGTGGCTGGAAGAGCAGGCGCTTCCTTCTGAGACCAGTCCTCCCTGGCCCTGCCTGGGTCACCTGCCAGTCAGTGCACTGGGCACCCCGCTCGGTGGGTCTGTCTGCCACATCGGGGGGCTCCTCCCTGGGCCAGCCTGAAGAGCTGACTGAGTCAGGCCCTCGAGGACCCAGGCCCCTGAGGCGGGAAAAGCCGCTGTGGATGGCCACGCACAGGGGAGGGGCAAAATGCTAGGGCCAAGGGCAGCACCTGCGGTGGGAAGAAAAGGGCGACCAAAAATTAGGAAAATAAGTTATCCTACGTTTAACAAGATTAGGTTATAAACACAACCGTATGGTAGCTCTTAGGTCACCTGTGCAGTGTACATGCACGTGATTTTTTTCCAGCAAATTTGGGCACCTGTGTGATTCGGTGTCTTTCCTTCTTTGTTTTTCTCTGTATGGTCATGAAGAATGCCACTTATAAAAATACCTTCGTGGGATCCATCGCTTTTACTGTGGGTTTCTCCTAATCCTGGAAACTCAGATCAGAGGGAAGAGGCCATGCCTGCCTGAGGCCAGAGGGAGCAAGAGCAGGCTGACCTGTGAGGGAGCAGCTGGTGTGAGGGGGCTGGTGTGTGAGGGGAGCAGGCAGGTGTAGAGAACAGGCTGGTGTGTAAGGGAGCAGACAGGTGTGAGGGGAGCAGGTGGGTGTGTGAGGGAGGAGGCTGGTGTGTGAGGGGAGTAGTCTGGTGTGTGAGGGGACCAGGTGGTGTGTGAGGGGAGCAGGTGGGTGTAAGGGGAGCAGATAGGTGTGTGGAGGGTGGGGGCTGGTGTGTGAAGGGTGGGGCAGGTGTGTGGGAACAGGCTGGTGTGAGGTGAGTAGGCTGGTATATGAGGGGAGCAAGCCAGTGTGTGAGGGGAGCAGGTGGTATGTGAGGGGAGAGGGCTGGTGTGTGAGGGGAGCAGGCAGG